GGCTGAATCCAGAGTGCCATCGTTTCCTTGACCACCGATCGACGCTGACGACAGGAGAACCTCCTTAAGCGGATCGGAGACCCCGACTCGCGAGGAAGATTCCTCGGTCGTGGTCTCCACCGCCAGCGCCTCGAAGGTATCCACCTTGAACTGCTGCACTGGCCGCCAAGCAAGTCGACTACCAGAGCGTCCTTCGGCTTGACCCTGTTCTGGAGCCTCTTCTTGGCCTGCTCGAGCTGCCAGTCCTTCAGCTTGGGGCAGCACGCGTCGCCGGCCCAGTGGCCCATCTCGCCGCACGCGTGGCACTCCGTGTTCTTCTTGTCGGTACCACCCTTGCCCGTGAAGCGTTTGCCTTTGCTCGAGCTTCCGCCTTTTGAACTTCCTTTGCCGAACTTCCTATCCTTCCGGGGCTCCTTCACGCGTTTCTTGCTTGCCCTGACCATGATGAGCCCCTCCATCAGCGCCTCGACGCCGCTCTCCAGGTTCTCGAGCTCCTGCGTCAGCTCCGGGTCGTTCTCCGCCTCCGCTAGCACCGTTGAGAGCGCCTCAAGCTCGGCAGTCAGCGCACCTTCGAGGTCCAAGGCTTGATCCGTCGTCAACACCTCCTCGCCGCCTCGCCGACCTCGGTCTCGTCATCGCCATCGTAGGTGTCGACCTCCGCCGAGAGCGCCTCGAGCTCACCTTCGTCGAGCTGACTCAGACCGTCTAAATCCTCCGTGATATCTGCCTCTTTGAACTTCCAAACGATCTTATTTTTGAGCAGCGCTGCGCCTGCACTTCGACTGAAACGTCCTCGATGGAATCCAGACGATCTCCTCTCAAGCATGTGCAGGTTGGGGAACGCCCTCATCATGGTTGGCACCACTTCTGGCAACTCCATGCTTCCGCCTCTGGATGTCATCAGCATGCTCTTCTGTGCGTCTTTCAGCCTGGTCTTCTCTATGAGCCACCAGCCAGCTGTCCTCGGCGGCAGCGCGACCTCTTCCTCATCCAGTTGGCTCCGAGCCTCGCCGAACCTGATCATCTACGAATTCAAATCCTCACCGGCTCTCCGGTGCAGCTGCTTGTAGAAGTACGTCATCACCTGCCCCCTGCGCGTCGGTTCATCCACTCCCATGGTCGCGAGCACCTCCATCAACTTGTTGATGCCCGCCATCAGGTCAGCCTCCTCCCAGTGACCTCGCTCGTCTTCGTCCTCGAAGGCCTCCTGGTCTACGATCCATCGCCACTGCTTGGGTCGCAACTCCTCCATCGGGATGGACTCGCCGAGCGTCTTCGCGGGCCCGGTCAAGCACCTGACCATGCGGGCGGCCCAACTCCAATTGACGTCTAAGTCGATGCCTTCTATCCACAGCGCCACATCCTTCTTGTACCGCCTCCAGCGACTCGCCGAACCATCCCACGTCGGAATTCCTTCCAAGTCGCGGTTCGCTGTCAGCGGCGTCATGTACGTAGTCGATCTCCGCGCCCACCATTCTCGCGACCCGGCTGGTCGCGGCGGCAGCGCGCCCGGGCTCAGGATGCCACTTCCCATAGCCAGTCGCCGGGGCCCTAGAGACGAAGCACTGCTGCGACACATCCCCAATCATCGTAGTACTCGTCCTGCTCGTAGAACTCATCCTCCACGATAACTCCGCTCTCGTAGATCTCAGCCGCAATTGCCCAGCAGCCCGCATGCGCTCCAGTGCGCTCCGCTACCACTGCGGAACCGAGGGAGAGAGAGCACCGCGTCCCCCTGGCTCCGCAGCGGGATATGGCGGCGAGGGCGTCAGCCCTAGGGAAGCGGCCCTCTTCTTTCCTGGGCTCCCGCGCCAGAAGTCATAATCTCTCAAGTCGACTCGAACTAAAGCGTGCAACAAACGAGCGATGACACGAGGCGGGCAATACAAAATAGCAAATATATAGCACAGGCAAATCTAAACATCAGTCCTATACGAATCTCATGAAACGAGAGGGGGGAATATGAACGGGGGGGGACATCAAACGAAAGCGGGGCTTCGGGGCTGACAGGATAACGCGTTCTTTCAACATAAGCCCCCCCCCCATGGAGCATCTTCTGTCCCCTCCCCTCTCTGCCCTTTCTTGTTTGTAGCCCTGTCGGCGCCGCCCGCTAGCCGAGGCGCCTCTTTCCCCCGCTCCCTCTTTCGTTCCTGCCTGTAGCCATTTTGGCCCAACCGCCCCGCTACATCGGAGGCGCTGCTGTCCCCCTCCGCTGAAACGGCGCCGCTTGCGTCGAACCTGTCGCCCTCGTGCAGTGGGCCGCGCGCGGCTCTAATCACGGGCGCCGCCGCCGCGTGTTCCGCCTTGGCGGGCGACCCCCCCGCAATTCGCCCGAGCAGAGGGACTATGTTTAAATCGCGCGCCCCCCGTTTTGCGCATCACAAGCTGACACTACGCGCATCCAGACTAGACCTCGCGGCTTCCTGGGTAGCTGCGGACTGCGTGACCGTCTTCACTTTTGTGAATTTCCAGGAGGTCCAGCGGAGCGGAGGTGCACGCGCGTCCAGACGAGACCTCGCGGCTCCTCTGGCGGCTGCGAAGTGCGCAACAGTCTCTTCGTGGGCTCCTGGGAGGCCCAGCGTGGTTGAGGTGTACGCGCATCAAGACGAGACCTCGCGGCTCCGTGTGCGGTTGCGAACTGCGCAAAGGTCGCAATTGTCGTGGGTTCCCGGGAGGTCCCGTGGAGTGGAGGTGTACGCGCATCCAGACAAAGCCTATCTGCTTCCTGGGTGGTTGCGAATTACGCAGCTGTTGCCTCTTTCGTGTGATCTTGGGAGGTCCAGCGGATTGGAGGTGTACGCGCGTCCAGACGAGACCTCGCGGCTCCCTATGTGGTTGCGATCTGCGCAACGGTCGCCACTGTCGTGGACTCCTTCGAGGTCCAGCGGAGTGGTGGTGTTTGAGCATTGAACCGAAACCAGTCTCAGACTGCGTTGTTGACCCCCGAACTGTACCGGCGGCGACAACAACAACAGCAACAACAACAACAACAACAACAGCAGCAACAACAACAACTGCGCCCGACTGATGTTTATTTGCACTTTATTCATCCTCGCGCTCTCGCGCGGGGTTTTCCTCACACCCTTTCGAGAATTTATCGGTCTCGCGTGGGGGGCGACTGCCAATGTATTGAGACGGTGCGCCCTCGACACTCAAAACTCACCCTCTCGCTCTGGACCTCTCCAAGCTTTGCTTCGGAATCCCGCTGCCGCCATTCGCTCGAGATGCCCCCGCGATGTATGAAGAGCGACGCATCCGCTCGACCCAGCCGTTCGGACTCATCCGTTCGAACCGCCCGAAATTCCCCACCTGCCAGATCCGCCCGTCTGGTTCTGCCGATTGTTTTTGTGTTTATGACCCCCTCTCCTTCAAATTTCTCTCGTGCTCCATCCTTTTCCTTCCCCATGTGTCCCTTCCCTCCCCCCTTCATCCCCATGTTTTCGGAGTTGCGCACTCTACACGTGGCAGGGGAAAAAGTACATACATGATCCCGGGCTCCGTGCCCACGGGCGCGCGGCCCCAGCCCTCCCCCAGATGGGATGGGTCCCAACGCTCCCCCTTGATGGGAGGGGGGCGACGACGACGACGACGACGAAAAGACGGCGACGACGCCGACGACGACGACGGCGACGACGACGACTACGACGACGACGTTGGCGACGACCGCGCCGACGGCGACGACGACGACGACGGCGATGGCGACGACGACAATGACGGCGACGGCGACGACGACGGCGACGGCGACAACGACGACGACGGCATGGACGACGACGACGACGACGACTACGACGACGGCGACGGCCGCGACGACCGCGACGACGACGACGGCGGCGACGACGACGACGACGGCGACGACGACGACGGCGACGACGGCGGCGACGACGACGACGGCGACGACGGCGACGACGACGGCGACGGCGAGGACGACGACGGCGACGACGACGGCGACGACGATGGCGACGGCGACGACAACGACGGCGACGACGACGCCGATGGCGACGGCGACGACGATGACGACGGCGACGGCGACGACGACGACGACGGCGGCGACGACGACGACTACGACGACGCTCGCGACGACGACGACGACGACGACGGCGACGACGACGATGGCGACGCAAGTTAGACGACTCGCGCGCATATAACATCGAATCGAATATACATTACAATTATGCAGTTGAAGATGCTGATGTTGTTGTGGTGTTGTTGTTGTGGTTGTGGTGGTGGTGGCGGTGGTGGCTCTCACTTCTAAGCAACAGGTATTGGTGATCCACCCTGCTGGTAACCATTGCACTTGTTAAAGTGTTCCACCCAGGGCTCGCACCCAATTTTCTACAAGAGAAAGCCAGGGGTCACCAAACTGGGTTGTTGGGCCCCGATCTATAACATTAGCGGCTCCCGCCTGACATTTCCTCACACAAATGCACGCGGGGGGTGAGGAAGACAGACCCCCACGGGGGTACGATCGAAGACGAAGTGGGCAGGTGCTGAGGGTTTGGCATTCTACGTGTTGAATGGCACGCGAGCAGGTAATCGCAAACAGTCTTGAAATGGAGGTTGTTGTCGTCGTCGTCGTCGTCGTCGTCGTCGTCGTCGTCGTCGTCGTCGTCGTCGTCGTCGTCGTCGTCGTCGTCCTCTCCCGCGACCCACCCCCGCGACCCACCCGCGGCCAATCCACGGCCCACCCGCGACCCACCCCGCGCCAATCCACGGCCCACCGAACCACCTCGCGCCCGTCCCCCCCCTTTATCCGCAAGCGCGGGGTGCTACGCAAGGAGGGGGGGATGGCGGAGGATGAGGGGGAGGGGCGATGAGGAACAAAATGCAGGAGGAGGAGGAGGAGAAGGAGGAGGAGGAGGAGGAGGACGAGGGATAGGGAGGAGGAGAAGGAGGGGCAGGAAGAGGAGTGGAGAGGAGGCAGGATATAAGATGGCGGGAGAGAAGGCTGCGCTTTCCCCATCGCCCCACTTGCTCGTAGGCAGCCCCCCCCCCCCTGCGAGGGGCAAGGGCAAGCCGGAGGGCGAGGCTGCCGCCAAGGAGCAGCGCGGCGGCCCCGCCGAGACCCCGGGCAAGGCGGAGGGCCCGGCCGGCAAGGAGCTCGGGCGGGGGGGCGCGGGGGGGCAGGAGGCCCGCCGCGAAGGCACGAGGTCCTCGCCGCAGGGCCTCGACGCCCCCCCCCCCCACTGCAGGGCACGTCTCGATGCACCCTGGGGGGGGGCTCGTGCCTTTTCCCTCTTTCAAGTGGCCGTCTTGTGCTATGCGCGCCAGTTCCCTGCAGCGTCGTATCCTCCTCCTCCTCCTCCTCCTCCTCCTCCTCCTCCTCCTTGTCCTTCTCCTCCGCCTCCTCCTCCTCCTCCTCCTTCTCCTCCTTCTACTCCTCTTCCTACTCCCTCCTCCTTGGGCCCCTCCTCCCGGAACCGCCCCCCCCAGCCCTTGGAAGCTCCCCTACCCCCCCCATACTAGGCAGCCCCCCCGCCCGAAGCCCGCCCTCCCCCTCCCCCTTCCTTTTTTTTCTCGCCCGCTGGAATCCCCACCCCCTTGGCGGCCGCGCTGTGAAAAAGTCGCGACGTCGGATGGCTGGGTTTGTTCGCCGTTCTTGGCCTTCGGGGCCCTCCACGGGCCTCGGGGCCGACAGTAGACAGCTCGGAATGGGAAGCTCTCGGCCTCCCTGGGCCCGTCCCGGACTTCGGGGGCCTTGACGCCCTTTTGCCTGATGCCGACGCACGGTGAGCAGCTCACGATAGGTACCTTCGGGCCTCTGAGGTCCATCCCAGGGGGCGCCCACCCAATGTTGGTCCTTCTTGCCAGGTGAATGAATGGCCCCCTAGTGTCGGATGTGCAACTCAGGCCTGCAAGGTGTTGTACTGGTTCCCACGATGTGGACGCAAAAGGGTCTGGACCCCGTCCCAGGGACTAGTTTTGAATCCTGCATCGTTTTTGTTGACGGTCTCGAGGCCTGTCAAGGGACCCAGGCGGCCGAAAACGTCGAAAACCTCAAGGTGTCCAAGAGCGAAGTGATGACTAGGTGTGTGTGTGTGTGCATGTGTGGATATCATAGCCAGGGACATGATACATTCCCGGATTCCATGGCCACCTCTTATTCTTCCAGTGCGTCCCTTGGCCTCCCCGTCGTCCACGCACATACCTCCAGCCATGATTTGCGACCCCCCCCTCTTGGACGGCCCCGAAAAACCTCCTCCGTGCCCTCTGGGATGTCCAAGGCTGCTCACCACGCCAGGCCTCGCCGTCTAGGGGGGCAGGAAACCTGACCAGAGCCAAGAAAAGGAGGGGGGCCTCAGACGTGTGCTGAGGGACCTCGCCGAACCGAGCCTCCTGTATTCTCTCGTCCTCACCAGACGTCCGAAGATCTGAGGTTTTCAATCCCAGCAAGTTCCCTCGATTTCGGCCTGCGGAGCCCGCTCTCGGGCCCCAGCGCCATCAAACATGGATCCGGGACGAAACACGACGCCTTGGAAAGGGGGTCGGTGCCTGCCTGGGGCCGCGGATTGAACAACTCGTATCGGAGGATGTCTGGGTCATTGGTCTGGTCAGGCTCCCCCTGCTCGTTTCAGGGCGGACGAAAGGGGTGGGGGAAAGGGGGAGTACGAAGTCTATTGCAAGCGGCTGGTTTCGGCTCCGCCGCCAGATGTAAACGAAGCAGGTGCCTTATGTTTCTTACAGCACCAACTTCTGCGCATGGACAAACTGTATTCCCCCCCCCCCTCGCCTCGCCCTCATCGGATTCCCGCCCACCCCAGGAGAAGCCCGCGGGGAAGGGCCCCTCCTCCTCCTCATCCTCGTCCGCGTCCTCTTCGTCCAGCAGCAGCGGCGGCGGCTCGTCGTCGCAGCCGCCGAACCAGCTCAGCCGGCAGTCCATGGCCGTGCTGGGGGCCGGGGTCGCCTTCGCGGCAGTGTACGCCTACGGCGGCCAGGACGGGCCGGCCGCCTCCGGGGGAGACGTAGTCGCGCCCCCCCCCGCCCTGAGGTGCCCAGTGGCCTCGCTCGAGGAAGCGCAAACACGCATTGCGGCGCGTGGATTCGCGTTGTGGGCGACGATCAACGGAGAGGAGGCATGTTGCCAAATCATTCCCAGATGTCAAAAACATGTTTTATCACATGTCTTAATCATGTAGAACGCATATTTAAAACGTGCTGAAACCATTTCCCATGCTTCAACACATGTGCATTTCAATGGTAGGATTGTTAGGGTGTCCATTGTCATGGCATCCACAAGATTAGCGTCGCTCCCGTTCTCCATACAAGATCGGCGCTCTCCGTCGCCAATTCGGGGGGCACTGCCTCTCCCTCCCCGATCCGTGGATCTGACCCTTACACGCCAGATCCACGGATCCCTGAACCATGTAAGACACCATCAGCGGTCCGTTGGAGACGTCCCAGCAATCTGAGCGCGAACGGTCCAGTGTCCTGCCGTCTGCCTCTGGCACCGCCTCTGGCGCGCTCCGCGCGCCAGGGATGGGGAGGTTCTGCGCCGGCCCAGCAACTCGTCGCGCATCTCCGAACGAATATGCCTGCAAGGTTCTTTCTCGTATGTGTCTGTCTGCTGCAACTCGGGCGCAGTCTGGTCATCTTTGGGTCACCCGCGCAGCCTCCTACAGAGGCCTCCTCGGGGCCAGGGCTCCCAGTAACTACGTTCGCATGCGTCCGCCCCACCTAGTACAGCGCTTCGTGGCCCCATAGGGAGCTCCATCGAATGCCCCCGTGGTGACGTGCGCATGTGTCCGCCCCACCCAGAGCAAGTTGCGTGGGCCCATAAGGAGTTCCACCGAAGGCCCCAGTGGCGACGTTCGCACGCGTCCGCCTTACCCAGTACAGCGTCTCGTGGTCCAATAGGGAGCTCCACCGAAGGCCCCAGTGGAGACGTTCGCATGGGTCCGCCCCACGTGGCAGAGTTTTTGTTTGGCGCATAGGGAGCTCCACCGAATACCCCATTGGCGACAGCCATTTCGGCACACCCCTCACAAGTTCTGCGGCCCCACAGGAAGCTCCACCGAAGGCCATTGTGGCGACGGTCGCATGGTGGCCACCTCCGAAGTCGGCTTGCCCTTTTTACGTTTCGTAGCCACAAAGGGCGGGGTATACCTAAGGCTGAAGTCGCAGCGCCCGCATGGTGGCCCCGCTCCATTGCGGCACACCCTTTGCACGCTTCGTGGCCCTTTAAAGAGATCCACCGAAGGCGATTCCCAAAATGGCGATACCCACAACGGCAGATGAGTGGGACCTTCGCCGGGATAAGCTTGTTTTTTGCAACGTGGCCCCCCCAGAGGTCGGAACCCCATTCCCCGGGACCCGCTTTTCATCCCGAGCCGATGTTTGACGGTCTACAGGGCAGCGGGGCTCGCTCCTCCCTGGACCCGACGTCGTGTTTTTATTTCGCAGTGTGCCCCCCCCCCCCCCCAGAGGTATGAGCCCCTTCCCAAGGACCAGCTTTTCACCCCACCCTGAGTCGTTGGTTGTCTGACGATCCGCGATGCCCGGCAAGGGCCCCAAGAGGCCGAGCACCTGCGAAGGCCTTCATTCGGGATGTTTGCTCACGACGCGAGGGGGTCTGCGTCCCGAGGTATCGTCGATGCGATAACCTCTCCCCAGGGTCCTCAAAGACGCCGGTTTTGGGACCTGGGATGCCCCAGTCGCCCGAGACGTTCTCAGAGACCAGCCCGAGTCCCAAAACAGTGCGGCCACCCCGAGTCCCCACTGACTCGCCCCACTGACGAATTCGGTTGCGTTCCCCCACGCCTCCCCCCCCCCTTCTCCTCCTCATCCTTCTCCTCCTCCCCCCGCCCATCCTTCTTCTCCTCCTCCTTCCCTTACGCTCGTCTCCTCCTCCTCCTCCTCCTCCTCCATTCCTTCTCCTCCTCCATTCCTTCTCCTTATAACTTCTCCCTGTCGCACCCCGCGGCCAGTTTTTAGGGCGGGCCGGGCGTCTCGCCTGAGACTTCTTCAACATGTATGACTCTGAAGCTTAACAAGTGACAACAGTTTCACATATGGAGGGCGGGTCGCTTTCAAAATGCGGCTCTCGCCCTAGCACCGCGCACATTCGTTTTAAACACTTGCAATATTTTCAAGGATTGAGGGCGGGTCGTTTTCAAAATGTGGTTCTAGCTTTAGTGTCGCGCACATTCGTTTTCAAAATTTGCAAGAGTTTCACTGAGTCAGGGCGGGTCGTTTTCAGAATGTGGCTCTCGCCTCAGCGCCGCGCACATTCGTTAAACAATGCAAGAGTTTCACGGGTTGAGGGCGGACCGTTTTCAAAATGTGGCTCTCGCCTCAGCGCCGCGCACATTCGTTTGAAACATGTGCAAGGGTTTCACGGATTGTGGACGGTTCTGTTACAACATGTGGTTCTCGCCTTGGCGCCGCGCACACTCGCTTTAGACGTTTGCAAGGGTTTCACAGATTTCCATGATCAGCGTATCAGAAATGATGTTTTCGGGAGGATTCACGATTATGCGAGTGCAACAGTAATGTTTGATTCGCGGTGTTGACGCCCAGAAATGACGTTCTGGCACGATTCTGGATTGTCAAGACGCAGCAGTCAGGTTGACACGTGGCGTTGAAATCCCTCGAGCAATGTTTCGGCACGCGTTCCTTCAATGGAAATGAACCGTTGTAGGGGCCTGCGAAGAGGGAGCTTGGAGGAAGGGTTCATTCCAACATCGTTGATGACTCTTGGGTTTGCACTGGTCCTCCTCCTCCTCCCCATCTCCTCCTCTTCCTCCTCCACCTCCTCTGCGGATTGTGCAGAGTGGTCACCGCATCGTTCGTCAGCTGCGAGCGAGGGAGGGAAGTGAGAAGGAGAGGCGCCTTTCAGAAGGCGGTGGGACTTCTCAGAAGCCCTCGTCCGTTAGCAAAGTGTTCTGCGTCTTCGGGGCAGGCCTCGAAAACTTCTCAGAAGTCCGGTATGCTTCCGAGCCTTCTGAGAAGGCCCGCCACCTGTCACCTCTCCCCCGGGCTCGCCGCCGAGTTTGGGGGGCGCCCCGATGGAGACATCCCTCCAGAGGTTTGGTCGGACCGAGTTAGAAGATCGTGGTCGGTTCGGGGAGGGGGCCCTGGTGTTCTTCGTGTTTGCGAGATGTGCTTGTGCATCCTTGGGGAGGGCACCCTCGAATGTTCTTCAGTCTGGGCCAGCGGAGGGCCTCATGCTCTTCAAGGATGCGATTCTGAAGGATGTCATCCTGTCCTCTTTCCGACCGCACCGTCGATGCGACGGGCTCCCCCCAGAGGGGGGGGGGGGGGGCAGGCAGCACGGCGCCTCCGTCCGCGGCCCGCCGGCAGGAGGAGCCCGCCCAGGAGATCACGATCCAGGACCCCCCGCTGCGGGCCCAACGGGGCGGCGGGCGGCGAGCGGCAACACGTCGCCCCCCCCCCCCCCCCCCCTGCAGATCCAGGGGGGCGGGGGCACCCACTGGCACGAGCTCGGTCGAATTGCAGAGCAACTGCGAGCACAGCTGCTCGGCGCTCAGCGCGGATCTTGGATCTGCGCCTGGACCTGACTGGCGGCGTCTCCGGCGCCGCCCCCTGGCGCGCTTCGCGCACCATGGAGGGGGACCCAGCGCCGGCCCAAGAAATCCGCGCTGACCTCAGAGAAATTAGGTACGTTCTGTTTTAATTCGCTCCTCCACTTGGGCCACTTCATCGCCTGAGTCGGCGCCCTATGTTTTCAAGGCTGTGGCCCGCATATTGGTGCCACGGCTCTCGCAGGCCTACTTCGGTGTAGCGCAGAAAGGACGAGGATCGGGGATTCATAGAAGCCCCACCCTGCCAGATCGATTGGCGGATCCGACCATTGGCCCCTCGTCGGTTTCTCGGGAGGGTGATGCGGCCACCATTTTGGCGGACCTGCGCCCGCTGGATTTCGCCCCAGGCCTTTTTTTGCTGAAGTGTGTCTTGCGAGCGGGGTCTGTGTCCCACCCCGCGCGGAGGGAGATTTCATGATACTTCTATGCCCTTGCGGGCTCCTCCTTGGCATTGTGTTCGTTGTGCTTATTTAATCGCTTCGCTCATTCCGCCGGCCCATATTGTCGCACCGTTGTGGGCTAGCCGAGTTTTGGGGCCTCTTGGGGGCTGTTTTGGGGCCTCTTGGGGCCTCTTTTGGGCCTCTTGGGCGCCTCTTGGGGCGTCTTGGGGGCCTCTTGGGGGCCTCTTGGGGCCTTTTTGGGGCCTCCTGGGCGCCTTCTGGGGCGGAGGGCTCGATTTTTCAGTTCTCGGTTCCCCTCTTGAGCCCCTCTTGGGCCCGTCTTGGGGCCTCTTGGTCCGTCTTGGGCGGCACTTGGGCCGTCTTGGGGGCCCTCCTGGGCCGTTCCGGGGCCGTCTTGGGAGCCTCGTGGGCCGTCTTGGAGCGGTCTTGGGGGCCTCTTGGGCCGTCTTGGAGCGTCCGGAAGCCGAAAAAGCCAGAACGCAAAAAACATCGAAAAAAACAATGAACATCAACGATTTTGGCCTCTTGGGGCCCTCTTCGGAGGCCTCTTGGAAGGCCCTTGGGGCGTCTTGGAGGCCTCTTGGGCTGTCTTGGGGCCCTGTTGGGCGTCTTCGGGCGATCTTTGGCCGTCTCGGGGCCCTCTTGGACCGTCTTGGAGGCTTCTTGGGGACCTCTTGGCCCGTCCTGGGGCCCTGTAACAGAACTCCGGCATCTCTGACCCGACCTTGCCGGGGACCTTGCCGGGACCTTGCCGGGGTACTTTTCGTCCGGGGACCCCCAGGGGCCGCCCCGCGCGCGCGAACTAGAAATACTGTTAACCAGGTACCGGAGATCTTAGCACGCCCTGGCCCGTTGGGCCGGCGAATTCTTGCCGCAGCATCTGTTTGTGCAGTTGCTACTCGTCCGTGTTGTCCGTGAACGCACGCGTTTTTACCAAGTGCTTCCTTCAATTCGTTGACGTGTTCATGCGATTTGCCAAAGGCAGTGCAATGTAATGAACAGGAAGAGGATCACAGCCACGCTTTCTTGCGGGCCGCCAGCCACCGACTGGACTCATCCTCGGGGCATGTGGGCGCGGTCGTGGCCTGCGCCGTGCTTGTGGCCAGGATGTGAGAGGAGGCGGCCCCCCACACCACCCCTGCCCCACCGCCCCCCTCCAGGGGAGGAGTGGGGAGGGAAGGCCTGGAGGGAGGCGGGGGGGGGGGACAAGCCAGGTTCGGTCACGCCAGATCTGACGTCCTGCCCTCCTCTCCTCCTCTCTATGGCCCTCTCGGTTGCGAGTCGGGTGTTGGGAAAAGATTGGGTCCCCACTGTTTGCCCACATGCAGGAAAGAACGGTGCGCAAGAGCCCCATCTGGGGAGACGTACAGCAACCCCCCTCCCCCCCCCCCCGAAACGTAATTTTCTCCCCTAGGGGAAGGGGGAGGGAAGAGGCGAGAGTTGGGGGGACGGGAGGCGGCGGGAAGCCTTGGTGGTTGTCGAACTTGAGATCCTTGCAGGAGCTGATCAGGGAGTACCTGATGAAGGGGTACGTGGACCGTGGCCCGCTTCCTCCTCCTCCTCCCCTCTCATCTTCTCCGGCCCTCATCCTCTTGTGTTCCGCCTCCGTTTCCTCCGCTACCCTTTTCTTTCTCCTTGTAAGATCCCCCATCAGTTTGTGAGGTCTCTGGAAGCCCCTGGAGTCATCCGAATGCTTTCGGATGTCCAAGAACGGCCGGAGACGCTCACATCCTGTGTTGTGGGTATGAAAGGGGCGACCCCACCTCCACCTGTCCGCCCTCTAGGGCTGGGCCAGAGAGTTTTGAGTCCCGACTGTGCGGATCGTTTGTCACAGCGGGGCATCGGGTATCCCCCCTGCCTGCCCCCAGACCGCCCCCTCGCCTCTCTTCGGATGCAATTTCTGAAGGGTGCCACTCGACATCGGCCCTGGCACATCCGTGATTTAAAACGGGCCTCATCCAGCATGGTCCCATCCAATCCGGCGCAATCCTGCTTCATCCGTGGCTGAAACTGGGCCAGTCCCGTTCAACTGCCTTTCAATAGGGCTGAATCATGTTTACTGCCTCGGAAATGCTTATTTAAATGCCTCTGCACACGCCCATGCCCATTCACAGCGTGTTGGAAAATCCACACCTATGCTGCCCGCCTTTTTGTAGCGCAGTTGTGTTACATGTGGACCACACTGGCCAGTCATGACACCGTGTCAGTATTTTGTTGTGTACACACCCACCACGGCATCTGTTATTTTTTCGGTGTCACAGAAGGCACGGCACATCCCATTTTCTGTTGAAGTCGCATAGCGCCCATGACGGATGGCATTACATCGTGCATCGTTTCGTTCATGTTTCGCTTCGCCCAGGCCAAGCCAGGCAAGTCTGGAGGCCGTTTCAAGCAACACTGGGCCCCAACAGAGCCACACCAAACACAGTATGAGGATGTCTCTGGCGAAACAGGGCCCAAGCCAGGCCAAACCACGGCCAAGCCAGGCAAATGTTGAGGATAGTGCATGGAAATTTGGGACCAAACTGCAGTACAGAAGCACCCCCCCGAAAGGTTTCGCAGATGCTTAGCACACGTTGGAACGATAGTTGTTTCGGATGGGGTTGAATGCTCGAGTGATGTTTCAGCGTTTGATGTTCCCGCAACCGTTCTGGCTCTAGCGCCCCGAGGTGAACAGAACTCCTCTTGAGGGAGAGGCCCTGCGTGGCCCAGTATCGATCATGACACTCTAGCGCGATTCCGCGGATGGTAGCGGAGCGTGGCCGAGGCAGGATCACCCTCCGTGTCCTGGTGATCCTCGGTCACGCTGCCGTGGCGGGAACCGCGGCGATGGAGGCCGTCGCGGAGCGCGTGCGGCTCATGGAGGGCGAGGTGACACGACACCGCGAGGTGCTCGCAGAAAACGAGAACTTGAGGCGGAGACTGGACGCCGCGGAGCAGCGCATGGCGATGGGCAAAGAGCGCGCTGGAAAGCGCGACGGCGGCGCAGCAGCAGCGCCAGGTCCGAGCAGCGGACAGGTCGTAGACACCAGACTGCTGAACAAGCCGCGGACGCTCACGGACTTGCATCCGGAGTGGAAGATATGGTCGTTCGACTTCGAGGCCTACGTGTTCGCGGTCCACCCCCGATTGGGGGACTTGCTCAACCAGGCGTCGAGGACGGCCGACGTGCTGACGGCACAGAATGAGCTGGATGCCACGCTCAACACACAATTGTACTACTTCCTGGTCTCGGTGACGTCGGATGTGGCCAAGGTCGAGTTCAGGAAAGCTCCACGAGGAGACGGGCTCGCTGCGTGGTGGCACCTGCTGCGGGAGTTCGCGCCGACGGAGGCGAACAGGTTCGCGGCCATGCTAGGTCGGATCAGCAAGTATGCGTTTGCGGACCCCGTGATGACGAACTTGGCTGAGTTCGAGCAGCTCGTCAGGGAGTACGCAGACCAGAGCGGCGAAGTGATTTCGGACAACATGAAGCGGGGTGTGATCATGTCATGCATCAAGACCGAGAAGCTGGCGGACCACCTCAGCTTGAATGCATCGCGCTTGGCCGCGTACGACGACCTGAAGACGGAGCTGAAGACGATCTGCTCATCGCAGCGACGTTGGGCAGCAGCGGACTCTGGAGGCGACGGCGCGGCCCCGATGCAGGCCGACGCAACGGGCAAAGGCAAGGGCAACGACGGCAAGGGCAAAGGCAAGGCTGGCAAAGGAAAGCAGGGCGACTCCAAAGGGAAGAAAGGCGACTCCAAGGGCAAGGAACGAGAGACCCGCAGTTGCCACTACTGCGGCAAGGCTGGCCACCTCGCAGCCGACGGCCGCAAGAAGAAGGCGGACGAGAATAATGGCAGGAAGGTCGCATCGCTGACGGACGCGGCCCAGGCGCAACCTTCGGCCTCGGCGGCAACGACGGCGCTGAAGGGGGGCAGCACTGGCTCGCAGAGCAGCTTGGCTCCCACGGTCGACGTGTCTCACGCGGCAGCAGTCCTCGCCCAGATGCAGTTGCAACAGCAGCGGAGTTCACCTTCGACGAGCGCTACCGTTCACCTCGCGAACATCCAGGTGGCAGGCGACGCTGACATCCCGACGTCCGAAGAACACTACTGGCATGTCGGCACGATGTACGACGCGACGCAGTGCGACGCGCTGCCAGTGACGGTCGGCGACGCGGTGGATTTCGACTGGGCGCTCTTTGACACGGGCTCAGGGCTCACCACCTGCCCGCAGGAGTTCGCGAACATGACCGAGATGCCCCCGCCCAAGAAGTTGCCGCTTTGCGAGTCGGCGAGTGGCGACGAGGTCAGGTCCATGGGCACGAGGATCGCGGCAGCCGAGAGCGACGGAGTACCTCTCCAGATCGGGTTCCAGGTCACGAACGCGAAGCGCGCCATCGTGAGCGCCGACGCCTTCACGGAGGGAGGTCACGTCCCGATCCTCAGCAAGGATCCTTACATGCTGCTCGCGGACGGCCGCAAGATCAAGCCGCGCAGTAGCGGGGGGGCGGTCTGGCTCAGGATCAGGAGGCCCGTCGAGAACGTCACCGAGCCGATCCTCGTCAACCCAGCGCAGCCGAACGCTGAGGCCCGAGCTGTGCCGCGGGAAGCACCTGCCGACGAGGGAAATGCAAGCCTGCGGCCGATTCCGATCCACCGGCACCGCCACCTCCACCGGCACCACTTGCTGCCGGCGACGGCCAGGATCAAGCAGACCATGAAGGGAGCCAGCGTGAGGGCGTTCAACGACAGCGAGGAGACGGAGCGCTACTGCGGGTTTCTGGAGAAGCCGCGGCAGCTCAGGCGAGAGGGGTCCCAGTGGTGCCAGATCGAGCGGTTCGAGACCAGCGTCGTCTCACGCACTGGCCCTTCCGCGCGTGGTGTCTGTTCTGCATCGTGGGCCGTGGCAAGAGGGGCCCTCGCGCGCGCTTGGCGGACCCCAGATGCCTAACCCCGCTGGTCTGCATCGATTATTTTTTCCTCGGAGACATCGAAGGCGACCGCCATCGCGGTACTGGACATCCTGGGGCACCAGTCGGGCGCGATCGAGTGCGCGCGGATGATTTTGAAGGGGCCTGCGGATATCGCCGTAGCAGTGACTACGGCGGCGACGCGCACGCGGGGCCTCGACCGCGTTCTCCTTGGATCAGGGGGGGGGGGAAACGCACAGACACAATTAATCGTCGATCCCTAAGAGAATATGGGAAAATATGGGAATTTGGCATGAAGACAAACACCCAGAAAATATAAGAAAATATGGGGAATCATTTTATGTGTGTATTTATTTGTGTGTCCCTGGGCCCCTTGATTGGAGCTGATGGGGAACCCGCTGTCCAGGCCTTGGCCCGAGCCGCGCAGCTGGTTCGAGAAGAAGAGACAGTGCCACGCAGCGGGCCCAGGCGAGACCCCAAGAGCAAGGGGGCGATCGAGAACGCCGACAAGATGGTCGAAGGCATGTTCCGCGCGCTGAGGGCATCGATCGAGTCGAGGTACAGCGCCGAGCTCATCTTGAACCACTGGATCATGGGCTGGATGATTCGGCATGCAAGGTGGATCTTGTCAAGGAACCCAGCGAAGGCGGATGGCCTCACGCCCTGCCAGCACCTGCAAGGCCGCGCGCACGGAGGAGCGATCTGCGAGTTCGGCGAGACGGCGATGTACAAGATTCAGAACGTGTCCCACCACAAAGCGGAGATCCGCAGGGGCAAAGCCGTCTGGGTCGGGAAGGACAACCGCGCGGACGACACCTCCTGGCGACCGCTGGTGGTCAGCAGACGGCGAGGACGATCGACGGGCGAGTTGAGGAGCAGCGATGGTCCAAGAGCTTGCAACAAGGTCGCGAGCACGCCGTGGGACACTTGCGCAGGGCCCGAGGCAGCACCGCCCCCCCTGCGCCGCCGCTACATCACGAGGGCCATCATCGATCGAGTTGGACCTACACCTGGTTGCGACGGCTGCTACGGGCTTGATCACCCACACGCCGAATCCTGCAGAGATCGGATCGAGAGCCTGCTGGAGGCCGAAGTGGAGACAGACAAGCGGGCGGCAGCTGTTCGAGCACCCGCTTCCGCAGCAGCTGCAGCACCCCTAGGATGAGGAGATCAGCCTGCTCAGCCTGCACCCGCCGACGAGCAACCCGCGCCAGCAGCACCGACTCCAGCGCCACCTGCTGTCCGACATGGCCCAGGGGCAGATCAAGGCGGGCGACCTCGCAGGCGTCAACTTGAGGCAGGTACCTCCAGCGCAGGAACAGCAGGATGGAATGAAGCTCGGGATGATCGAGATTGACTGGAAGGGGCCGTGGTGACGGAGAAGCCGAGGAGGAAGCAGAAGGTGATCGCGGGCCTGCTTGTCAACATGGCGACCGCGGTGCTGGCGATGACACGGAACCGACCTACCAGAACGTGTTCGGGGCTAGGTCAGACAGGAGGTTGGACCCTTCCTTGGTGAAGCAGGGCAGGGAGAAGGAGCGCAGGCAGATGGAGGGGTTCCAATTCTTCGACCGCGTGCCTAAGAACTTCGCGACGGGCAAGCGCGTCCGCGGGAAGTGGGTCGACGATGAGCGCTACGACGACAACGGCAGGGAGTCGGTCAGGTCGCGCGTCGTGGCCATGCAGTTCGCCTGGGACGTGCGGGACGACACTTTCGCAGGCGCGCCGCCGCTGGCCGCGTTCAGGCTGGTGGTCTCCTTCGCATCAAGCCTCTACTTCACGGGGATTGGCTACGACGGCATGCCCGCTCTCTACGACGTGCCGGTGGCATTCTTCCACGCGTATACCGACGAGGACATCTACGTGGCGCCGCCCAAGGGAGAGAAACCCGAAGGCATCGTGTACCAGCTGAAGAGGGCACTCTACGGCACCAGGAGGGCTGCGTTCTTGTTCCAGAACCTGAGTATGGAGGTCATGGAGAAAGGAGGTTTCTTCCGCATCAAGGTGACGGTTCAGGCCTACTACCACAAGGAGCGCCTGCTGATGGTTGATTGTCCATGGTGACGGCTTCCTGGCTGAAGGAATGAGAGACGCGCTCGATTGGTTGGGCGTGCTGGTGAAGGGCCACTCCATGGTCAAGTTGATGCCCAGGGTCGGGAGCCCGAGGCAAGGAGGAGTTGAGTCAGGCAGCGTCCCCAAGCGCACAGTAACGTGGTGCCCCGAAGGCTTCGGCATCATGCGCGATCGCAGGCACGTCGAGATCCTGGTCAGCACCATGCTCAGCTGGAAGACCCGCGAGAGCAACACCACCAAGCATACGATCACTCCGTCTCGCAAGACAATCGGGAAGGGGTGCAGAGAGCCAGCCGACGAGCTCAGCACGGAGTACGCGACCACCTACCGCAGCATGGCGCTTACCTCACTCTACGTCGCACACGACTGCTTCGACATTCAGCAGGCCGTCGGCTACCTCATGAGGGGAATGGTGGCACCGACTCGGCACCGACTCGGCACCATTGGCTACTGCTTCAACGCTTGGCCAGCTACCTTGAGCAGCACCCGCAGTTCGAGCTCTTCTTCGAGTTCCAGAGGATGCCGGAGGTTTTCGTGGCGGAGGTCGGCAGCGACTGGGCATCAGGGCCTGGTCGTAGGTCCGTGGACGGCCGTTTCCTGTTCATTGGTTCGCACCTGATCGACGGCTGGAGCGGCCAGCAGGGCAACCGCGCCCTGAGCAGCGCCGAGGCGGAGTTCACGGGTCTTGTGAGCGGGTCGACGAGGGACATTTGGCTCCGCAGCGTGATGTTGGAGATTGGGCTCCGAGGTGACGCTGCAGGTCAACGCGGACAGCTCTGGAGCCAAGAGCATCGCATCGCGCCTCGGATGCGGCAAGGTGCGCCACCTGGAGACGAAGTACCTCTGGGTGCAGGAGAAGGTCAGGGACAGGACCATCACGATGACGAAGTTCCACACGGATGTCAATAGGGCCGACATGCAGACAAAGCCGCTGGAAGGGCCGAGATTCCTGAAGCTGCTGGCGTTGCTCCCACTTCGGACACTGTCCTCAGGGCGCACGCAGGTGTTCGGAGTCATGTTGGCGGCCACCATGCTCGGTGGAATTCAGAGCTCCGCAGTCATTCCATACAACCAGGCGGCGATGGCGGTGGGCAGTCCGACCGTGGCGGAGGGGATCTGGACGACAATGCTCACAGTGATGTTCGGCTCGACGTTGGCGTTCGCATTCTTTGGCGACGTGGATCGTGTGCCGCATATACAAGGCGCCATTGTGGTTCCTGAAGGGCTTGTGGGAGCTCGTGAAGGCCGACGAGGACGAGAACGGGCTGGTGGCGCGTCCGCCGGCCGCGGCGGCCGAGGAGGAGCATGGGCAGCCAATCGACAGGCTGGAGATCGAGGGCCGCTCGAGGCCAAGCCGCCACACGCAGACGGTGCCCGTGCCGCCCTACTGGACGTGGAGCGCAGTGGACCCCAGAGCGGAGTGTAAGCGCCTAAGAATCTACCACGGTCAGCTCAATGCGCAGGTGATCGAGGACCTGCTCATCGGAGCAGGGCGCAAGTGAATGCTTCTTCTGGTGCTGTGGCACCGCCTTTCCACGTTTACGACGCAGCCGCCAGAGCTGGCGTCGCCCGATTGCGAGAGGATGAGACCCAGCGTCGCGGCGCTGGTCCTCGGAGGAGAAACGAGATAGGCCCGCGGGCGAAGGTGCCAGACCTTGTTCGTGCTAGGATGACCCAGGACGGCTTCTGTTCAGTTGATGTGCCCTAGGCTAAGCCCAGGGCCTAAGGAGGAGTGCGGTGCAGACCCTCCCCCCGAAAGGTTTCGGATATGTTTAGCACACATTCGGAACAATAGTTCTTTCGGGTCGGGTTTAAGGCTCGAACGCTGTTTCAACGTTTGATGTTCCCGCAACCGTTCTGGTTCTAGCGCCCTGAGGTGAAAAAGGGATCCTCTTGAGGGAGAGGCCCTGCGGGGCCCAGCATCGATCATGAGATTCTAGCGCGATTCCGAATCAACCAAGGGCCAAGCCAGGCTGATTTTGAGGACGTCCTGGGAAAAATCGCCTAAACCAGGGCCCTTCCCTTTTACTCACCAAGGTCATTCTTTTATAAAAAAGTGGATCACCCCAAGCCCCCCCCCCGCAGGCGGAAACCCGTTTGGAGTTGTATGGGGGCGGGCGTTTGGACTGGGCGCCCGCTGATGCGGCCAGGGTTGGGCACGGAAGCCTTCACTTGGTCTTCGAGTGCCGTTCGGGCTCTGGCGTGGCGTTAGGAGACATGTATCCGAGCCCGTGGTCGCTTCTTACGAATACCTCCAAGGAGTTGCTTGTTTCTCAAGCGTAGCACAACACATATGACCACGTCGCCTGCCCCCCCCCACCCTTCCCACCCCCTATCCTAACCTTCCCCCTCCCCTCCTCCCCCGCGGCTGCGCGAAATCGCCAGGCCGAGTGAATGTAAGATTGGTTTTTGCTTGTACTGTATCCTCGCATCTCTCGGTGGGGAGGGCGTGGTCCTGAGGAACGGATTCAGATAGTCAACAAGTCGTACGCCAAGGTGCAGCTGAGGGCCGACGCCCCCGGGGCCAGCGCGTCGGGCAGCCCGAGGATGGGAGAGGGTAGAGGAGGAGGGAGGCTTGGAGGAGGAGGAGTAGGAGGAGGAGGAGGAGGAGGAGGAGGAGGAGGAGGAGCAGGAGGAGCAGGAGGAGGAGGAGGAGCAAGTGGGAAGAGGAAGAGCAGGAAGGACGAGGACGGAGGAGGGATACTGCGATGCCGAAGGAGTTGGTGGATGCGGGGAGGAGGGGGGTGGACGCGGGAGGACGCAGCAGCGAGGATGGAGGGCGCAGGACGGATGAGGGAGTACGGAGGACCTGGGAGACGCCTTTCCATCTTCATCTTCCTCACAGTTCTCGTTCTTTCTTCGGAAGGAAGTCGGGGAGGGGAAAGGGAAGGATGGATCAACTCAGAGCGTATGGGGCCTGTTGTGAGCGTCTGGTGGGCACGTGTTCTGGATGGGCGCCCCCGCTCCACTGCTGGCCTTGCCTCGCAGGAGCCCTGGCGCAGGGGCGAGGTATGGCCTGGCGCCCTGCTCCGGGCGGCACGGCGTGGCGGTCTCCCCGTCGGCGCCGTCTCGTCCCAGGTCCAGCGCGCTGCAATGATGATGCAATGGTGATGAAGACGAGCAGGCGAGGGCCCCGTTCTTACTCTTCCTCGTCGCCCTCCTCCTCCTTCTCCTCCTTCTCCTCTTCCTCCCTCCACCTCCATCCTCCACCTCCCCCCTCCAGTTCCCGGCCAAGAAGGATCAACACTCCATCCGCACTCTGGCCGCGTTCGAAAATCTATGTCTACAACACCTGGTCAGTGTCCGAGTTTCCAGGAGGTGCCCGGCGAAAGCCCAAGGTCCAAGCCTCGAGCTGTCAGGGACGGACAAGCATGCAACGTGCAAGGGAGTGTCCAGCGAGCGCCCCGTGCTCAAGCTGGGGGCACCCTGGACCAGGGGCACCTCTTAGCGACCCCCGAGGAGAGGGCGGTCGAAGAGCAGGAGCGGGACTCTGGGCCTCCCTGATGGGGTCAGAGTGGTCGCCATGGGGGAAGCGGGTCCCCAGGCTTCTCGCCGTTTTCGGGCTCTCGTGGTCCTCCACGGGCCCGGGGAGTGTCAGAAAACGATCCAGGATGAAGAACTGGTTCTTCGGGGAGGTCGCGGGGTCCAGGACCCGTTGCCCTCACGACCCGTTCCCCCCATGCTGAAATGCGCGCCCCCAAGATGCGACACCATTTGGGGAGTCAGGGCTTCTGGACAATGCCCGCTGAGGAAGTCTCAGGCAGAACGCCCGGCCTGCCTTACGGGTACTTCTGGTGGTGGGGGCTCACTTTCAAAGGGGGGAGGGGGAAACTTGGAGGCGGGCGAGGGCGTGCGAGGAGGATCAGGGTGACTAGTCTGGAGGAGGATGAGGAGGGAAGGAATGAGGAGGACCGGGAGGAGGAGGAGGAGGAGGAGGAGGAGGAGGAGGAGGAGGGACATGCGGGTGAGACTGAGTCAGGGGCGGGCTCACAGACACGGGCGGGGAGGAGGGGGAGCGATGTCGAGGGGGCGATATGGCTGAGAGAGGTGGAGGCGCCAGCCCTGGGAGCGATGGAGGGGCAGGCCAGGATAGAGGAAGTCATCGGGAGGGAAAAGCGGAAGGGGGGGACTCAGAGGAGAGAGGGGGGGATGATCGCAGGATAGAAAGGTAACCATACCGCCACACTTCTCTCGTTTCCCCCTCTTTTACCAGCCTCGAACTTATCCCTATCCCTAAGATTGACACGCCCAAAGGCGACGACAATCTTTAGGGATGCGCCCTCAAAAATAAGGGAATCCCTAAGATTGGCATCGTGATGAGGAGATGCCCAGCATAGGGATAGGGATATGCTCCAGGCTGGCAACTCTTGGCGCTTCCGGGGCGGCCCTCGTCGCCACCGCTGGATTCGCCTCGAGATCCTCGTCAGAACGCTCCCAGGGAGAGGTCCAGGGAGTAGCGGTATCGGTACTTTTCGGTTTCCCCAGGTGAGGGGGTGAGGCAGAGGTGGGACGGAGCCGGAGATCAGGGAGGCTGAGGGGAGGGGCGGGTGGGAGGCAGGGGAAGGGTGATGCACGGGCGGGAGGGAAGGTCACGCAAGAGGGAGGGGATGGGGACGGAGCGGGGGCTCCGGAAGAAGGGGAATGGGGGGACGGAGGACGCTCAGCATCCAGTTGGGCACGCCGGAGACGTTCGAGGCGAAGATCGAGGGGATGCAGAACGAGCTGGGGCTGTCGCCCGTGGACCACGTGCCCATCCAGTACGTCAGCGAGACGGACCTCGTTCAGGATCTCCTGCCGCATTTGTCCTCGCTGCTGTTCCTCATCCCGATGCTCCTTGTAGCGCGGGCCATGAGCGGGGGCACTCCGAGGGGGCCAACTTTTCACCTGCACGAGGGGTTCAATCATAGACCCTTTGTTCACCGTAGTTATCCAGCTTTCGCGCCGAAAACCTCCAGAAACCGACGAAGACCATCAGAAAGCCGCCGAAGACTGCCGACGACCGCCAGAAGACCGCCGAAGACCGCAGACGATCGCCCAGGGCTGTTGGGTAACCGAATGCCCCAGATAATGAAGCATACCCCCCCTGCTCCTCCCTCAGGATTCCTTCTCCTCCCACTCCTTATCGTAGTTCTCAGGATTCCTGCTCCTCCCACCCCTCCAGGGAGGCCCCGCCTGAGAGAGCAGGGTATCGCTATACCATGATATATCCTACGATTTGTGCCTCTCCCAACCCTCCAGGGAGGCCCCGCCTGAGCGAGCACGTGATCGCTTTACCCCAGTATGTCTCAGGATTCCTACTCCCACCCTTCCAGGGAGACCCCGCAAGAGCGAGCACGGTATCGTTATAACATGAGACACTCCGTGCATCCTTACACTCCGAAAGATTTCGTTCGCTCCTCCTCCTCCTCCTCCTCCTCCTCCTCCTCCTCCTCCTCCTCCTCCTCCTCTGCTCCTCCTCCTTTATGTTGCGACCTGCAGGGGAATTCATATCATCTCGCGGGAACCCCGAACTTTCTTATCCCCACCCTGTGATGATCGGGGCCATCGGGTTAACAAGGGATCCATGCTCGAATACGTAACCTGCACCGATTCTGGCCAGCCTGGTCCTGCGCCCAGGACCAGTGTACACAGGCTTCCTCCCTTGCCTTGGCTGGGAGGGCGTTGTATGTAGTGCTCCTGCGCCCAGGAGTGGGCTAGCCCAAACCGGCGTCGGTGTATATGACTACCCGCCACACTGCCCCAATCCTCCATTCCGAGTGGGGGGGGGATTCCGGAACATTTGCAAACAAACGATGGAACTCGTCGTTCCCCTAGACCGGAATTTGGAACCTCGGGTTTGGCTGGGGTGGTCTGGTAGGTAGTCAGTATAGTCGTCGTCGCCCCAGGCATGGGCGGCCCTGGTGGCATTGGCGGCGGAGGACCAGGAGGCAGAAATATATTCAGCATCGGCAAGGCGTTCCCGTCCGGGCAGAAGGACGTGAAGTCCAAGGTGAAGTTTCACGACGTCGCTGGCCTGGAACAAGCCAAGAAGGATTCGGCGCTCTTCAAGGGGCGAGTGTGAAAACGTCGGGCTTCGAAGCAATCAGGCAGACTTGCTGATGGGCCTGTTTCCAACCACCACCACCACCACAAGTTGAAGGGGGAGGGGGTCCTCCTCCTCGTCCTCCTCCTCCTCGTCCCCCTCCTCCTCCTCGTCCTCCTCGTCCTCCTCCTCCTCCTCGTCCTCCTCCTCCTTCCCCCCTCCAACTTCTGGTGGTGGTTGTGGAAAACAGGCCCATCGCTTACGACGAGGAAGAATCGCTCCAGAGCGCTCTGCCAGGGAGTTCTCTGGAGCGCTCTGGAGCGGCCGCGGCGCCGCACACATCCTGCAGACCCGCCGGCGTTCAGCGATTCACGGTGTTCCGAGGCGGGGATTTTTCCATCCAGTGCCGCCGCCTGGGGGAGCGATCTTCGAGGACCTCGGCTGGCGGTGGATATGGATATGGATATGAACATGGGTACGGATACGGATGCGGATGTGTGTATGTATATTTATATATGCATATTCTCATACGCACCTTTCCGAGGGAGTAGAGCTCAGATGCGATTAATGCGCACGTCGTCCGCGATTTTTCTGGCCGTTTCGCTCGGGACATCCTCGAAATTCTGAAAATCGGTGGCACCCCTCACGCAGATCGTGACGTCAGGGTCCAAAAACACATGGGAATTTCAACATTTTAACATAAAACCTTCAAACACATATGGTAATTTCAATAATTTTGACCCCGATTCTCAGAGAAGGGCGGTTTCGCATGAAAAAAACTTCCCAAAATCGAGCCCCAGACCCCTCCTCGGAACCTCCTGGGGGCCTCCTGGAACCTCCTGGGGCCTCCTGGGGCTTTCTGGACCTTCTGGTACCCCAGACCCCGCCTCGGAGCCTCCTGGAGTTCTCCTGGGCCTGCTGAGGCCGCCTGGGGCCTCCTGGTGCCTCCTGGGGCTTCAGAACTACATGCACACACAGAGACACAAATCACGCCCAACACATCACACGCTAGACAAACATAACATACACACACACAACACCGACAACACACACACACACACAAAAAGCGCGCACCACACAAAGCACACATCACACACACACACAACACTCACAATCCTGGGGCCCCCTGGAGCCTCTTCTGGTATCCAAGTCGGGCCTCCTGAGGCTTCCTGGGGGGCCCTGGTACACACATGCAAGGTGTGGCAACCCCACTTGCGCTCGAGTGCGACTTCGCTGTTGCATGTCACTCCTGCTTCAAACGCCCCTTCAGCTTGTTGTATGAGCCTGGGCACACACGTGCCACTTGTATATAGATATATGTATATACACATGTAAATATACATATAACTATACATCTATATATATATATATATGTGTGTGTGTGTGCTCGCCCCCCACACCCCAGCACCCCCAAACGGTGGAGTGAGGGGGAGGAGGGGTGGTTACCCCCTCAGCGTCCTTCTCTTCTTCCTCCTGCTCCTCTTCATCCTCATGGTTCCTCCTCCCCCTCATGGGGGGCATCCTCCTCATCGTCATTCTCTTCCTTGCCAACAAGACCACAAAACGAAAAAGAACCAGAACCACAACCAGAACCAACGCCAGAACAACGGAAACCAGAACCAGAACCATAACTAGAAGAACCAATGATCGTTTGCTCCTCCTCCTCCGTCTCCTCCCTCTTTGCGACTTCAGCAAAAAAAACCAAACATTCACAATGTTTCCTTGAACCGAGAGCGCCAAACACTGTGTATCTAAAGGCTGCCGCCTCTGCCGCCGACCCCAAATTGGGGTACTGTTTTCGGTGTTTTGTGTTGTCGTGTTCTGTAGCTAATGGGCGACGCCGAAGTTGCCAGGCGCATGGCTGCCTTTAGAGCTGCCCGTTCCTGGCCAGGTCTCTGTGTTCACGTGTCCAGGCCGCTCAGGGTGGTATCTAACATGTGAATGTTTGTGGAGGATGTCTCGAGCGAGCCACGTGTTTTCACGTGTCCAGTTCGCCCAGGCAGATGTCTAGCATGAGGTGGCACGTTCATTGGCACGTTCCGTAGCGCGTCCCCTTGGCGCGTCCCGCAGTGCATCCCCATGGCACGTTCTCTGGGACGTCGCCTGGCGCGTCCTTTAGGACGTTTCGCGGCGCGTCCTCCTGGCATGTTCCCCTGTCAATTAGTTCTGGGGCAGCTACTATGTGCTCAGGCAGCTCGAGCTTACGATCCAGATCAGTTCGGTCAGGACTCGGATGCAAAGGAGGACTCGATTCACAACCTTGTAGAGCACACTCGCGGCATGACACATTGCAATTCAGCACGGCGCAGCACAGCACAGCCCTCGGCACGGTACATCAAGATCGATACACTCAGCATTGCAGCTTGGCACGTTCCGTGGCACGTCCCGCGACGAGTCCCCCTGGCACGTCGCGCGGCGCGTCCCTTGGCACGTCCCGTGGCACGTCCATTGGCACGTTCCGTAGCGCGTCCCCTCGGCACGTCCCGCGGTGCGTCCCCGTGGCACGTCCCCTGGCACGTCATTTGGCGCGTCCTTTGGGACGTTTCGCGGCGCGTCCTCCTGGCATGTTCCCTTGTCAATTAGTTCTGGGGCAGCTACTAAGTGTTCAGGCAGGTCGAGCTTAAGATCTAGATCAGTTCGGTCAGGACTCGGATGCAAAAGGAGGACTCGATCCACAACGCTACAAGGCACAATCTCGGCATGGCACATCGCAATTCAGCACGGCGCATCACAGCACATCCTTCGGCATGTTACATCAATATCGATACACTCAGTATTGGATTTACCCGTCGCCCAATCAGGTGTCTTTGAAGCGTTGCCATTCCTTACAGTTCTATATTCCTGTTTGGGTTCCTGGGTCGATCATGTTTCGATGCGCGGGCCTTTGATCCTCTCGACCCCTTCCCCAAGATAGGCTTTTCATTTCGAGTCGTTTCTTGACAACTCCGAGGTCCGACATTGGCTTCCAGAGTTTCAACCTCGCAACGAACTGGCCGCTTTGATTTTTCAGAGGCATCCGATATCTGGGGGCGCCACGATTTTTATGTGTCGTTGCCACCCAGATGTATCGACCTTTTCCTCAGGGCCAGTCTGCTGTTTTGTTGACAGTCCCGCGACGGATCAAACCAGGGAAGAGTTCAGAAACAATGAAGCGGAGAGCCGCCAGACTCTGAGGTCCAGGCGTCGCAATTCGTTTCACATTGTGCTTTCTCGTCCAGGTTCGGGCCCTCGGGGCCCCCGCAAATCGATCCAGCTTGAGAAAAACACCAGAAATATTGGGGTTCGGCCCAGGGTTCTGGTCGTGACAATCCATGATGCTGCTTCTGCAGGGGAGGTTTGGGCCCCCCCCATGTCTCAGGAGCTTCCCGGACGTACAGTGAGCGGCTTGGGATAAAAAAGGGGCTTCGTTCCTTAGGTCAGGCCGATGACTGTACCCGGAGGCCCGGCCCTCAGACAGCTCTGGAGGCGCAACAGAACGCTCAGAGCGTGCCCGCAACACTACGCTGTCCTCGATCGTCGGACCGCCAGAGGTCTCGGCAGCTCGCCACGAGCGCGTGCCGAGCTCTATTCGGGGGCAGCCCTAGGGACTTGGCATCGCTCGGACGTGTGGATTTTTCCTTCGGCGAGGGCCATCGAGGAGCATCCCTGATCATTTGGCGAACAAAGCCACGCACGAAACCGAAAAAAAAACACAGGGAATGGACGTCCGAGCGATGGCCAGAGGGAGGGATGGGCTCAGGGGGGGGGGATGCGTCGACCGCGCATCGCCCACGGATCGCCGATGGGGGCCCGATATAGCCCACCCCGCCCAGGAGCGCGCGGAGTCGCAATCGGGGGCCCATCGCCGATTTGTCGGCGACGGATCGCCGATCCCATGCCGAGGTCTCCCACCCAGGGCAGCGCTTCGTGGCCACATGGGGAGCTCCACCGAAGGCCCCAGTGGCGCAGTTCGCATGCGGTTCCCCCGCCCAGGGCAGCGTTTCGTGGCCCCATAGGGAGCTCCACCGAAGGCCCGCCCCAGTGGCGCAGTTCGCATGCGGTTCCCCCGCCCAGAGCAGCGTCTCGTGGCCCCATAGGGAGCCCCACCCAAAGCGGCACCCACAACGCGTTCCGAACAATTGCTTATGATTTGGTCCTTCGCCAGGATAATTGGAAATTCGATTGCGATATCTTTCCGGCACGGAAGGTTTTTGAAGGATTTCGGCATGCGCGCGCGACGACGCGCGCGTGTGCAGTTCGTCCCGTTGTTTGCAAGGGATTCGCGAAACAGTGCTATGTTAGAACAAAAAATGTCACCGCATAGTGTTTTTACAGTGTTTTTACAAGGGAACCTCAGGGGGGGGAACCTGGCTGGCCTGGGATAGTGTAAATTCAGATTTAGGATGGACATGTGGCCAGAGCCATATATGATGCACATACCCGAAAGGGGTGTCGATAACGCTGGGGGGGGGGGGTAGATCCCTTTCTGTTTTTAGAAAGGAGAATCAACGTTGTGCTACTGATGTTGTGCAGTTTGTGTGGGGCAAGCTATGTTGAGCAACACATGTGGTGCATGTTTGGTTGCGAGCGAACATACACGCGCCGCAGGGGCGACAATGACACACATGCGTTTAGGTCACGGTGTCCAGGTGCGACAATCTACGTGGTGCAATCGTTGGTGCGCCATCTACGTGGTGCAGTCTACGTACTGCAATGCACGTTGTGCAGTATATGTTGCAGCATTTGTCGTGCAAGCCATCGTGCGCAGTATTCACAATGCGTTCTATGTGGTGCAACTCATATGGTTCAAATACACATGGTTGTGCATTATAGAACGTGCAAGTAATATTGTACATTCGATGTGGTCCAGTTATGCTGCTCGGGAAAACAACGGCGCGCCTCAGACGCGAAACGAAATCGTGCAATGTATGTGGTGCAATCTATGTGGGGCAACCTATGTGGTGCAATCCAACGGCGGCGACGGGCGGTGACAAAGTGGCGACGGGTCGGCGACGGCGACACCATAGCCGCCAGAC